ACCAGGCGGCCTGGCGCGCGCGATGCCGCGACGCCCTCCGCGCCTCGGCCGGGGCGCCGGGTTCACGCCCCTCCTGCCCAACTCGACCGGGTCTCCGCTCTCGTCCGTCCTCTGCTGAACACGGAGCCTCTCTGCTCGTCCTTTCTCTGCGTCCTCGTTACTTAACAAAGCGAAATGACAAGACACCAAACCGGTCGGAACATCAGTTCATGGAACTGAGTGTGAGACCTCTGAAGAATGGTTAGGTGGAAGGAATTCTCGGCTTCCTTTTCTGAGCCCTTCGCTCAACTGCCCTCCGCCTCCTCGGAGCCCCCGCTGCACCTGCCCGGCCCTCCGGTGCCTCCCCTGCGAGGCTATAAGCTTCTGAGCTGTCGTCATTCCAGGGTCCTCAGGAACTTCTGAATACCAGTACCAGCACGCGGGAAGTGTTCACGTGCTGTATTTAACTTTCTTTAAAGGCTTAAAGAGGATTAGGTTTTAACAACTGTTAATAATGACTTCAAATGCGCATAATTTGTCATAAACGAGTCTTTAAGAGCAAAAGGTAAAATTTGAGCCTAAAAACCTCAGAAAAAAATTGGATATAAGGCAAAAGAAAAACTTATTGGTGGAAAATAAATTCGAAGTGCTTCCTTTTAAAAGTGACTCAAAAAATATCAAGTTTCCTAAAATTTTACAAAATATTAATTATAACTGTGACGTATAGGCTAGCAAGGAAAGAAGCCTACTAAGTGATAAAGTCTGTAAAATCATGAAAGACATAAAGATGGGGTGATATTCCAGAATATTGTTTAAAGTACTTACCTTAAAAACCTGGAAAAAAGGTAGTTTATAATAGGAAAACGGGTAGGGTATACTACAGAATTAATTCGAACTGAAAATACTCTGATGTCTTTAGACCTAGAATTCTTACCCTGAGAATGATGGGATATCAAGGAACAATACCTGAAATAATATGCAAAATTTTAATTTTTGTTTGTTTTTTAAAGAATCCACAGTTTTCCTCAGATTCTCAAATTCAGATCCTTAAAAAGGTAGAAATTACCATTTGGCAAATTTGATTGTTGTACTTTCTCAGGTCTTTCCTGACTCAGTCATGGAAAATTTGGTGCCCTTCCTAAGGGCATACCTCTACTTTCACTAAACAGCCATCCTGTATTGTAATTATTTACCTGTCTGTTCCTCATCAGAGACTGAGCTCCTCCAAAATAAAAACCTTATGCTTTTCTGTAGCCTTATCTCTTCGCACAGTGCCTAATACATATTATATTCTGCATGTTTATTCAATCAATAAATGAACAGAAACAAAGATAGCTAATTGACAACGGAAGGATACAGGATAAAATATCTAAAAAGAACTCAACACCTTTTCCCCAAAGAATAAATAGTAATCGAAATGTCTTTCAAAGTGTTACTGCACGATAGCACCATTTCTTGGGAAATTTTAGAAAATGCTTTTTCCAACAGGATGAAATTTAACTCGAGTATATTAAACAAATAGCTTCTTCAGTTCAATCTGAAGCAGACAAAGTTCCCCCAAGGAACACCAGGAAGTCAGAGTAGTGACTCTGGGCCAGGTCTGTTGGTTTTACTTGGGAAAATTACCAAAATATACACAATGTCTCCAAGCCACCATAAAATATAGTTATACATAATCCCTTTTCTTTCACAGGTCACTAAGAAAAGTGTGCAAGTAGGGGCACAGTGGAGGAATGGTTTCAGCAAACAAGGTAGAGCTAACACACCTCCAGGGCAGGAATCAGGTCTTACTTATGGTATTCAGTAAATGTTAGTGGAATAAATTAATAATCTTCTATTAGCTGTTGGACAGCTAAGAAAAAATTTAAATGGCTTGTACTAGTCCCTTACAAATGAGGCAGCTGCAATAGCTAAAATTTAGTGTTTCATAAAAAAATCTGTTTTAGAAAACAAAAGGATTTAACACCATTAAAATACTTTTATATGGATTTCATTTAGAAGTAAAAAATTTATAAAACTTATTTAATTTTCTAACAACATATTAACATTTATCCTAGTATAAACAGTGTTTTCCTTCATTGTAGCCTTCTACAATCTAACTAGAAAAGACTGTTAAATGGCTTGGAATGTGGGGTTCCACAAATCTGGGATGCCAACCTAAAGTCCTCATGTCTTTGGACAGCAATGATCTTTTCTTTAATTTTTGCACTAAGTAAACTTCTGCATAGTCTCACCAATAAAACCCCAATTGATATTAGAAAACATATTAAGAATTCTACCCTTTTGCACTGTTTTACTCTTATTAAGGATTAGGGATCTACTGAACCTGATGTCATGGAAATAGTTCCATTTCTTCAAGGTGTTCCACTTTCTTTGTAATCTGATCTTATCAAGGAAGTCAGAAGAATCAGGTCAGTGGCAGTCAGTGAAATTACATATGGAGAGCTATCTTCTCAGGTGCCCACACTAGTAGTTACTTACATATGGCACGCTAAACATGTTCTCTCTCCCATACTGCAGTTTTGTTTTTCAAGTAAGACTAGAATTAGAAACAGTATTATTAAAGCAATTTTTAAAAAATGTGAAATGTTACAGACATATAAAAAAGTATTTCCACCCTCTGAAGTAACTACTGAAATTAATTTGGTATTAATAAGTACCAGACATGTTCTTTATACTTTTACTAAGTATACATAAAATTGTCTGACATGTTTCTAATCTTTGTATCAGATCGTACCTAACAAGATCATTTCTCCAGAGCCTTTATTACTTAGAGGCATGTCTCCCATCTCTGCCACTAATTAGCTGTATACCTTCACACTAGGTATTTAACCTGTCTGGGTTGTGGTTTCCCACAAAATAGTTGCTCTTTTGCATGACTTAAGAATTAGCAGAATATATACATACTAGTTAAAAGGTTGAGCTCTAGATTCAGATAAATCCAAATTCCAATCCTGACGGTGTTTACTGGCTGCATGAAATCTGGTCAAATAACTTGACCTCTGTAACATATATATTCTTCTTCTTTGACATACAGATCATTTAGTACCTATGCCAGAAGATTGTTATGGTGAGATAGTTATTTTTGCCATTTTTATAGACACTGCCAGAAAATAACTTCATCAAACCTTCGAATCAATAACTAATAATAGAACATAGATAGCCAACCTAAATTCTATTAAACAAACCAACCAAAAAATCCTTTCTACTAAGTTAAAGATATATTGGGTTTATATAACAAAATAATAATTAACATTGTTAATGCTTGATAACTGTAAGTCTATGATAGTCAAAAAATGTCAGTATTAAAGTGACTAAAAGTTCCAGCTGTTTTTATACCTGGCAGTTTCTGATTAGGAAAGTTTAAATATCATTTGCCTAATGAAACCTGATTCCAATTAGTGGCTTCTTAATTGAATATTTCTTGCACATACATAGTCCAAAAATGTCCTATCTTCCCTTTAAGAATAGGGGCTATAGTAGTATATATCAAAGATTAATATTTTTCTCTACATGAGCAACTGACTTCAAAACCAGACTACATCAAAAGGATTTTTGTGCACAGATATCATGGTTATTTGATATTCCCAGATTGCATTTGTTTTGTTTTACAGGGTTGTTCAATTATGTATATTTTATATCAATTTAAACTGTCATTTGTTCTTTCTCCCTGATGCTAAGCATTCCAATATATTATTACGTATTGTTGACAATAGTTCCAAAATGGTCATTCTAAATTTAGAAGGATATGACAAAGCAAATACTGGTCATCTACTCATAGAAAATGTTTTTAAAATGTTTTTCTACATTCTACATAGAATAAAAATCTTAAGTGTCTACCTTAACAATCTCTAGGTGATCATCACAGCCATTTTCAGTTTCCAATATAAAAAGATCATGTTTTAGATAAGATCTGAAAGGCAGCTGTTTAAAAAACAGAATTGAAACCTCTTAGCGTGTGAAGAAATATTGCTTCACACTTCTCACAGTATGTATGAGCTATCATTTCTGATGCTTCTGTGCTACTCACTCTGCCAGAAATAACCTGCATCTCCATCTTCTCCAATTATCTGTCCAAACCTGGCTCAAACGTTTTTTCTATGTCTTTCTTGACAGCTAACTTGCTTCCCACCAAAACTAATTGCTTCTCTCTCTATTGCTCTACCTTATATTTACATCCTTCTCTGAACTTGTTTTAACTAATTTTTAAATGAGCATATCCCATGTGAGAGTGTGATCTTTTTAAAGGTAGTGTCCACGTCTTATACATTTTCCCCCCTTTCCTCCACCCCAGCAAAGACCTTGGTAGATGGTAGAAGTTCAGCCTTCTTCCTTGAACTTTTTCAGCAATTAGGCATACTTTGAGCCGAAGTTTAAAATTAGGTTTATTGTTAAACAGTAAGAAAAGGAATTTCTTTAAACTTTGGTGAGGTGAGAGCAAGTATTAACTTGTTTATGAACTGCATTATTATGGCAAGACAGCATAAATAACCCTGTACTGGCTGGCAGGTCCTTAACACACTGCACTCTTTGGTTCCTAACTTTTCCTAGTCCTGGGAGAGCAGCTCCACTCATTTCTCCAAGTAAGTCTTAGGATAAGTAAATTCAGATAAAGCCCCGTCTCTGGTGTAACTAAAATGGATGAATACAGACCAC